GATGGCTGTTAGATCAAGATCGCTTTCTACAAAAATGAGAAGGGTAAACTCACTTGTTAATGATGATGACTAATTGACCGAATTTGGGGCCGGAAGTCTTCTTGTCGCCACCAAAATGCAGCTTCTCCGCAGCCAGCGTCATCATCGCCAAAGACGTCAGGATGGTGTCTTTTGCGACATCTGTGGTGTTGAATACGATGACGCGGGAGCATAGAAGAGCGGGGGTGAAGAGAATGATGCTGTCACGGATTAGTTGGACAACTCACACCATCAAGCAATAATTCAATCCGGCGGCTACATACTCGTATAAGTCGCCCTGGTCGCCATGGCCTTCAGTGTCCAGGAAAGCTACTCGCTGCGAGCCCACAAGAGGCAGCTCAACGCCGTCGTCCAGCCGTGAGAATTCCTTGACGCCCATGATCTTATTGCCGAGGTTTGTGCCTGTTGCAGGGATTAGCAAGTATAGGGGGCGGGCGTCAGCCCAAGGCCTGTGCGTGCGTTACCTCTAGTCCACGATTCGGCTCCGGGCGAGGTTGAAAACAGTGGCTCTGTGGTGCATCCTGCGAGAAGGTTCAAGAGCGTCGACTTGCCGCTGCGAGTCGGGCCCATGATGCTGATGAGGCTGAGCGCCTCGTTGATCTGCCGCAGGTGGTTGTTGACGTCGTCGTGGCATTGCAGCACGTAGCTCTCGGGCTCATCAGAGTCCACATCAGTGGCATCGTCAAGGGTGAGTTTCTGGCTCGCAGCCTTTGTGCTGGGCGCCTTGGTGCTGACGGCCTTTGTACTGACGGCCTTGACGCTGGCAGCCTCCTTGACGCTGGGGGCATTTACACTGGTGGCGTTGTCGCTGGCGGCATTCTCGCCTGCTACGGCCTCATCGGCAGCCTCATGGGAAACACCCTCGCTCTGGGCCTCTTCACTTGAAGGGTCCTCGCTGGGAGCAAGTTCGCTGGCGGCGTCCTCAGGCTTCTTGGGGCCATTGTCAATCTCAAGCCACCGGAGCTGGTCGCTGGTCCCGCCGGCAACTAACTGGAAGCTCTTTTCATCTTCTGGACTGTGTTGTGGCAAAACGGCCGTGGTTAGTGCATTGAACTGAGATGAGATGAGCAAACAGACGCGTTGGCATGCCTTAACGTTTCAGTAAAGTCCATGGAGCTGTCCATCCGCTCGGTGGACGTGGTGCTAAACGTCGTATTGGTCCTTGACAGCCGTTCTACAGAAGAAGTGGAATCAGCACATTGTGCGGTGAGGCGAATAGGGGACGGCAAATCATACTGGCCGACTTGGTCCATGATGGCATGCGCTGGGACAGCGACCTCACTCTCATAACCATGATGACGGTCTGCTCTGCTGGATGACTGGAGATGAACTGTTGCCAGTCGTCGCTGGCATTGTATAAAATGAAGTTCTCATCAAGCGGTAAAGAAAAAGGCTGGAGAAAAAGGCCTGGGCGACTGAAGGGGATTAGCTCCAGTCAGGATGCGTGCCGAATTGTGCCAGCAGCGGTTTACACGTCAATGCAGCCTTGGTGTGAGGCCACGGCATGTGATAGGCCGCGCGCTGGGCCTGTCCGCTGAGTTGGGCTTCCATCACGTCCTCGCGGTGCCTGATTTGAGCGCCATGGGCTTGCATAAGGTCACCATTGGGAGCCCCCTGCTATGAAAGGGGTCCATCGGTGCAGTTACACGTATTGTCCAGCGATCAGGCGGTCACAGACGTGGATCCTCGCTTCACTGACTCGCGTCTCGATTTATGGACTTGTGCGTAGAACACGTCAACCCATGAAGCCAACCTATGCCGGAAGCGTGATAACGTCGCCGGAACCACCCTGGGCAGCCTGCACGACGATAAGGCGGGGGCCCGGCCATTGGTTTATACAGCACTGAAACGGTCCTGCAAGAGGTGGCGAATGGGCCACGGAATCGAGTTATCGAATCGTCGTCTACCCAATGTATCTCGACTGCAGCGAACGTTAGGGGTCATCTGCACATGCAACCCTTTTAACCATCCGTCGAGTTTGCAGGGGGGGAGGAGCGAGCAATTGTAAGCACCGCGGATGCCGCCCGGAAACCCTTCACCTAATGACTCAACTGCGAGAAGAGCCCTTGCTCTGACTTGGAGCTCGCCCCATGTCCATCTGCGCAGTCTCCGGCTCTCAATGGCCCAATGGCCGTGGCGATGCATTGGCGAGGCAAGGGCTCCGAGTTTCGCCTCCGTGAACCGAACCTCGTAAGCAGGAGGCAGATATGCATAAATCTGCTCTTCATTGTCTCAGCTTCTGGCGAGCCGAGCACCAGTCCTTTCCTTGCTCTGCTCGCACGGCACGGGGCTCCGCAACTCGGAGTCAAACACACGGCAACGCGCGTTAAAATAAGCAGAGATGCTGTCAGGGGGGCTAACCTCAAGCTCCCGCCGCTTTGTTACGGGCCAGCACCGCCTGCTCACCGAAAAGCCAGCTGTGCTGCCGTGCTAATTGTGTCCGTGGCACTAATTTGGAGAAGAAATTCCAGATCTTGCTGGACAATGCGTTTTGCTCCCCACATGGGCCGCAGCCACATCCGCTTTTTGCCTTTGTATGGTGTAAGAGAGACCAACCAACCACCTCATAAACTGGGATCAACTGCAGCTTCTGCCTTGCTCCTCTTTCTTTGGGCATGGCAATGGGGAATTCCATTGCGATGTGTCTCTTCGTTTAAGAAGGGCTAGACGTCGTTGTCCGGTAGTGTTCCGTCTCCAGCGTCACCTGCTGAAAGAGTTCCGAGGCCCTTGACACCGCCTTTGTAAAGCCACCAAACGGCTGCGTTGAGTGGTGCAGTGGCTGAATAGAACAACCGGAAAAATCAAAAGACCACGTTCAATATACCTGCCTGTATGCGTTGCTTTGTATACTTTAATGTCAAAATATTAGGCCACTCTATGCAAACATACAAGCATCTTTACGCCTCTATATAAAAGAACTGCCAAGGAGCATCATGGACCCTGCCCATATTGGGCCGCGATCGCATCACTAGCGCAGTTCAGACATTACCCGTTTCAACAAACAAACTTCTGAGCAAGCAGATGCTGCAGAAACTAGACAAACACAGGGTCTAATTGATCTCCCCACGCATAGTCACCTGCTTGTCCCGCTGTAGATGCATTGCATATACATATCCTCTCTTCTCCATAGGGCTAGGTCCTTCAAGGCAGGCATGGATCTAGGTGGACGCACCTATCCTGGTCTCTTCACCACGTATGATGATGATGACGGCGGTGACGTCTCTGTGGAGGACGATGTCGTTGGATCAAGTGAAGTGCAATAACTGGTCTATCCTCATGCAGTTCTTCAAGACTCGCCATCATTACTAGCGTTGGCGTTGGTCCAGCTCCATCTTTATACCGCCTCTGTCCCATCTTCAGCTTCGTCTCAAGCCGTCTACGATATCACCTATAGCCCTCAATGTACCCATCATCCTAATCTCTCAGTGTTGAGTAGTCTACAAATCTTTGCCGGCCCGCTGACGCTAGACATTGGTCTGCCATGAATCAATGACAGCGGGAGGCTATCAACGCTGTTCCAGGTTTGCGAGCTGTGATATACCTCGAAATCTGCGCGATAAATTAGTTGCTCTCATCGCCGCATATAGCGCTAAACATACAAGCGTGACCGTCATACCTGAATGTGGATTTTGCTTTTTATCAAATTTGATACCGCCTGCATGGCGCGCGCTCCACATGATTCACGATAGCGCCTCAGCCGAGTGACGGCGCAGACTGGATTTGTGAAGATGGAGGGTCTCTAAGTGGGCGCCATGGAAGCGATTTCAGTCTGCCCCTCTTTTCTCTGGTGAGAGTTGAGAGCATATGGTAAGCTGCGTAGATCCGGAGACTTAGACAATATTCCATACCGAGGCTTCAGATCTGACACGGAATGGCTGACTGCCTAGAAGACTGAAATGACCACTACTAACAACATCCATCTCCACAAATACATGCCTTATCCGAAGATGCCGCTGAGTTGGGATTATGAAGGCTTTTCCCTATATACGGTAATGGTTCCAGATCAAGTTTGCAATACGTAGTCGCGAATTCAAGATGACTAGGAACCATCTCCAGATCCGCACTCTTGACTTTACGCTTCTCATTGGCCTGTCAATTTTTTATTGTACAATCAATTGATACCAAGGGTCCAAGTAAAGCAGGAGGAAATCTTATCAAGATGACCCTGTTGTAACCGACTGTCTTGACACTGCTGCCTTTTTGATCTTATGGGAGGAGCATATGACACGAACACTTTCTCCGATACTACGAGCTTCGAATCATTCGAGGAAGATACCGGTCTGGTTATCTCGCAACCAACCATGAAGGATGGAAATACCTAGACGCGTTAAACTCTGAGCATGTAGACCAATTTGATGCGCCATTCGCTTATCTAACTGCTACCCGTGAGGCACCAGATGCGGATTACTCTACCCATGCCTCCTGCGCCAAAGGCACAAGCTGTAGCTGATGGGACATCATCACCGGCCGTATGGCATTGCTATGAACTCATAACATGAAAATTAGCTGTCCGAATCATGTCTCTAGATGAGATTTATATGAACATCTGAGCCTGAGGTTGAAAGCTTCAAGTTTTGCGACAATGTTGTTGAGTCAACATGCTAGTTACAGCCACTGGGCGCTTGGATAAGATCATTTGAACCTGTGCTGGATCCGTAGCATACGATTCCCTGATTCCAAACTGCAAAATGCTGAGAAAACGATGTATGAACTTGAAAACAAATGGAGGTTGATGTGTAGGGTATGTAGAGAGATGTGAGAAGAGCTTGGCGCCGCAAAAGAGATTCCTATTTAGAATACAATTGACCCAGTCTCTTTGCATCTTGAGCTAATCTTCCAAAATGAGGCCGTCGCGGGCTCTTTTCCATCAAAAGCTTCCTCCATCAAACTTCCCTAGTTCTCATATCATTACTCTAACAGGGACTCCCCATGTTGCATTGAGATCGAGTTTCTTCGTGTGCCTAAGACATCAGGAACTTGACTAGCTTGTCCTTATCGATCTCGTCCCCGCACCTCAGGCAAGTGGTCCATTTCTCATACCATGTCTCATTTGACTCTTTGAGGCCGAAAAGAGCGTTACTTATAAACCACATATCAGGAACATTGGGATATTCTGCCCTGATCTTGGTCCAACTGTGTAAGAGTCTCGTCACATATGCGTCAAGCGAAGTGAAGTTTTGTCGGTTGATGCTGTTGAAGTCCACTATGGTGTTGAATATATCTTCTTGAGAAGTTCCTAGGACCATTGTTTGGACCAGAGCTAACAATTGCCTTGAGCTCATCTCGTCGGAGCCAAATCCTTCGTGTTCGAGCTTGATTCTGATCTTCATCGACAGGGCATTCATCAGGAAGCCTGTTGCCTTGAGATCCTTGACTTTCCAAGCAGCAGCAGCAGTATCGTCGTTTGCCTTTTCTTGTTTTCCATCAATGACGTTCCAAAAGCCTAAGATCCTTGCATTGATCTTCATACTCTGATGCCATATTCTCCAGTCGTCTCTTCCCTGGAGCTTCTCAATTTGTGGCATGTATGCCGACGAGGGGTCCGTCTCCTCTACCATCTATATGACTTCCTTGTCAAAGTGGTCTCCCTGCCTGTTTGGTTCGTCAAAATGAGCTTCGTCTTGAAAAGGGAGACAGCTTCGTCGCGAGATTGGGTTTCGTCGTGAACACTATTGTCATAACCCATCAGATCATAAAATCCATCGCGGCAGCGTCAGCGCGAGTGCTCATAGCATGTCAAGAGGCAAAGGTGGATTGTATTGCAACAGTTAGAGCTGAAGCTATCGAATAGGGAAGAGAAGTATGTCTAACCAAGAGCAAACGGATCGTTGCAAAGGAACAACAGATAAGTGGGCTTGTCAAAGAGGGTGGGCCTGCCTGACAACTCAACATTTTCCAACCTACAACGGCATTTTTCACGTCAAGAATGAATGAATCATGTGCTACTTTTCTTGGCCAATGACTTGAAGATAATAGGTGCGTGTACCAAATGTACCAAAGTGATACAACTCAGAATTATGATAGGTCCAACAAAATCCTTGAACTATCGCAGTGTCATCTTTCTTATTCTCATATATCGACCATTTATTTACCTAGAAAAGGTACATATGCCGCATCGAGCCCACGCGTAATCTGAGTTTCCCCGCCTCCTTTCTGGTAAGATCTTTCTTTAAGCTTATTTTCGAAAATGTATCGGAAGTTTCCGAAATGTCGACGTAGTGGCACAAATATGAATTGTGGAGATTAACCATAGCTCCACCAGAGACCGCCTATTAGACTCTCCAAACTGGTCCATGAATAATTTATCATACAGAGTAACTCTTCGATCTTATCGAATGCTCTTGCAATAAGAAGACTGATATGTCATACGCAGTCGTAGGCTCTTATCCGCTCTAAGATGATGTGTAGAGCCCTTAGCCTCTGGAGTCTGTACGCTTTGGAGGAACTGCTGGTCCTATCTAGCTATTCACAATGAATTCATTGCACAAGACTGTTCAATGGGAAAGGGAAATGTTAGTGTAAAGCTAGTATAGCTAACCTAGCCTTACTCTGAATCCCCACGTAAAGCCTGCAGATTTGCCAAGTTTGAGATATCTTGCGGCTGAAATTTCCAAACCTAGCTATGCTGCCGACCAACACAGTTTCATCTCAGCACAAATATTTCTGAAACAAGCAGATTAAAGCCAAGAAGGGGATGAACTAGCGCCATCTTGGAAAAACTTCTTAAACAGGTTGTAGGAATTGTTTTTCGACTACTACAAGGGCAAATATTTTCAGATACTGAGCTTTAGTATGAATGGATGAATACTGAATCACACCAAGATCAGGGGCGACCTCAATTTTCGTAGCGTTGATTATATAGAAATGTAGTCTTGTGCTTGTAGCTTGCGGCTACCTGTGTTCGTCAGGGCTATCAGACAGGTTCCATCCGTCATTATCCGGATCCTTTTCTTGTCTTAAACTACCCAGGATGTTATGTACCAATCAAAGTTGAAACATGATAATTCCTACCAGTCGGTCGGTATCAATCATCTGGGAGTACTGTATGCTTCAATGGCGTACTTTATCATCAGGACTGGAATTGAGTCGATCGTAAGTATGCTCTCAGCACGTGTTGTTTTTTCTTGCTCCATCTCATGAGTTACTTGTTGCATCATACTACAAGTATCGCAAAGAGGGCAGGAAAGAATTTGAACAGAACTCTGAGGTCCTTTAAAACCCAAGTGTTGTAGACTTTACCAAGTTATACGGTATCCATAGATTGAGACGTTGGACCAGCCGTTTAGCTCAAGTCTATCTCACGTTTATTCCTATCATAGCCCACTATATTCTCCCAAAAGCAGTAGAATCAGGGCTTCATTTTTTTGGTCAGCCTCAAGCGATGATGCGATATCTTTTCTATTTATTCTGATATCGTCTTTTTTCTCCAAGATGACCCTTTTCATCCTTAGAGCTGACAAATGTGTACCTTGATGGCCGCGCACCTTGATGGCCTCAACCCCTCACGGTCTTGATCTCATCTCATTCGCTGTTTCTATGCGGCCTTTTGGGCATCACGTATCACAGAGGGCAAAATCAAGGAAAAGTAGACTCCCTTTTCCATCAAGGTTCGCAAATACGCTGGCGCTGATTGGCGTAGGCTTCTAGTTTCACCTACGAGACTTGTTTTAGCTCACAGAACGGCCAGTTGGGTTGAAAGCAAAAGCGGAGATGATGAAGATGGATGCCATGAGGCGAGGCTCCTAATATGACTTACTTATTGTGCATTGAAAAATATAAAAAGGAGGAGAATTCCTTCCATGTTGTTGTTTTCTCTATCTCTGCCAACCTCAGCAGCGTCTTCCGCAAATACTACACCGGACACCAACGCAGATGCTCTCTCCAAGCCGCTGACATTCAAGTTGACACCAACACGTCCGTTCGGCAGACTAAAATCGAGTCAAAATGCAATGCTCATGCTTGGAATCTGTGTAAGCTTGGCGCCTTGAGACCAGTAGCCATCCTCGCCTATGCTGGATGGACTATTGAAGGGTAGACTTGGCCTGTCTCACGAGATTCTCTTCTGCCGTGCCACTGTTGGCCATTCATCTGGGAAAACATGCTCTTCTCTGTCTGCTACAGATATCTCAACAAATGAAATGCCAAGGAACTCTTTGTGGCCACTCAGAGTGAGGGTTTATAATCTTGTCAAGTAATCATCATGCCAATCGAGCTTCTGATTCGCAGCACCCCTGTGCTCCCACTCTGACGCCCGTCTATCCGCGGGATTTTACGGATGCCTACATGGTCCTAACGGAAGGTATTGCTTGATTTTGATATGATCCCACGCCGCTGAAACAATCATTGTCCCGTTAGCTCCATATCTCCCTGTCTTTGGCTCATGGGACATCGGGTAGACGATCAGCGGAATCATGAAGCTACTCAGGACCGCGTGACAATTTTCACGGGACGGTCCAGGCTAGGTCTATTTGTGTATCTGCCCCTTTTCAGCTCCGGGATTCATGCTTTTCTATCGCCTCCGGCGGTTGCCATTCGATAGTCTTGGTGGCCAACCCGTGGGGGCTGCCGTTAACGCCGCGTTGTTCACACCTTCACCAGTCTCTCATTTCCGCTTCCGATGCTAGTAATGCTGTGTTACGTCAAGTGAGAGCTGCACAGCCGCCCGGTTGCCGTTTGTCAACGGCTTGACTCTCGTGCAGGCGCTCCCAAAACCAATCAATGGCCTCGTTTGAGACCTCTCGTGACGTGGCCAATACACCCCCATCATCAGTAGTCATGTCGGCCAACTTTCTTATCTTTCATCCTCAGATAAGAGGGCACTTTATCGAGTTTTGTGAAAATCTTGAAGAATTTGTTGGCCCAGCAGTGTTGCCTTTCCAAGGGAGGAAGGAAATGGCTCCCGTGATCCCTCAATGACTGCTATGAGGCCAAAGCTCCAGTGTCTAGCTCTGCATATTTCCCTCATCAGTGCATATCCAGTGGCTGTTCTACTTCCAAATACTTTGTTGGTATCTACTTGTAGAATTCGACCTCTATCCTGCCAAAGTGCGCGCCCTCGACTCTTTTCGTTGCTACCTATCAGCTATTGTTCGTGCAGTATTTCATATCTATCGTATCTGATTTTGATCCAGATTTCTTTCATCTATGGAAAATAAGTACAAACTATGAATTTGAATGGAGTATTTGACGGGTGCCTTTGACATTTATGTGGGACTGCACAAGTATCTACAAAACAGCCGTATGTCTGTATGCCTTGACATGCATATCTCACACCATTACAATGACCTATCCATTCCAGCCGTTACTGAATACGCTTAGGATGCAACGAACTTGAGTGCCCCTGCAGTTGCCACCCGAGAAAATCTCTCTTGATGCCCAGCTTGTTGGCTCTAGCAGTTGAGCTCGGGTTGCCATCACCTGTTCCCCAGCCAATGAAGGCATCTGATGACCAGAGTGGATGATCAATGACATTTCATATTCGGTGGCCGAGCATGGGCACTGACGGATGCATGTGAAGATTTTCACGCCGATAGTTGGCCGTCCTCTAATAGCTTGCACTAGTTCGCTGGCTGAAGCTACTGCATGTGAGCTTTGAGGATGAAACTAGCTAAGAGTGCAGGATTTAGTACGTGGGGAGTTGCAAGTGGAGAGGAATACAAATGACAGGTTCAAAAGTTTGAAAAACGCAGCTTCGATCTGTCTATAAAAGCACCAGCTATCGCTTGCTTTTTCAATTTTTTGCCATCACTACAACGAGCAACAAGATCAGAAACACTCAACAAACAACACATCTTTACAACTTTTCGACGACTTTCAGTCTCAACTTCAAAATGTCTCCCTGGTGAGTACATCCCCGGCTTCACTCGCAGCAACCTTTCTCCGCCTGATCATTTGGCTTTCTGGATGTATTCTTCATATGATCAGTATGGGCGGGAATGTTTCGATACATTTTATGAATGGATATTTTGGCTTTGAACCTATATTAATATTTCTTCTCATAGCTCCTGCAACACCTGCAACTGCTCCACAACCTGCAGCGACTGCTCTTGCTGCAAGGTAAGCCTTATCAGCCCAAGTTGATGTGGACTACACCAGAAAAAGGTCTAACAGACGATGTTTTACAGCACTAAATGTTCGACATGTTATCTAGTCACTAGAATGACACGGCAACTCGAGAGCGGCTTATGGACTTGGATGATTGACAAGACACTATTAGTGAGGCATCTGGGCATATAGCTACCGCCATGGACGATCTAGCATAAAAAATTGAGAAAATGAATAAAAATATTGTTTTTGAACAACTATCAATGCGTTCATTGGTCTCTAGTCACTGAACGAGTTGCGTTGTAAATGTGAAGTGATGCGAAATAATCGTTTTTGTAGGTTAGCTGCGCCAGAAACAAGAGAAGCTGATGGCACGGCACATCGGAACTGGGCTATGACAGCGCGATGGAATGGTGTATTAGGCAGTAGAGAGCTCACACGAGGCTATTGCAAATCTTACCCGACTTTAACCAAAAAGAAAAATTAGTGAAAAAGGACCTCAAGGCGACGTGAAAAGAAGCCGAGAATGCAAAAAAATGATGCCCACTATCAGAGTCGAACTGATCACCTTGTCATGTCAGAGAAGTACTAGTGACACGCTATACCGCTTAGCCAAGCGGGCTTTTTGATGACAGAGATCAAATAATAATATTATATGAAGCAGCTCAGCTTTGCTGAAAGGATCATTTTTGACAGAGATCACCAGCGAAATTTCGCAAGCGGGCAAGAGCTATTATGTGATAGCCAACTTTTATTAAGCTCTATGAACTCTGTCTTCTTTTTCTCATTATTCTATACCACTTAACCAAGCGGGCCTTTGGCTAGTAATGTTGCTGACCTGGTTACTGTTGTATATAAAGGAAAATAGCTGATCAGCATCGATCACGAGCGAAATTTCCAACTCTATTGGCAAAGTCTGTAGTTTACATCAGCTCTTTGTAGATGTAATGCTTCTGATACTGTTCAGCTTCTTTAGTTAAACTGATTACATGCAATTTCTTTTACAGTAACCCATTCCAAAGCCGTTATAGAAACATCAAAATTCAGCTGGTTATAGTTCAAAATACATGGCTGTTGTTGGAACTCGGATCGTATAAGTGCTATTGCGACAAAGGTTCTTCTTTCGCAATATAATCTATTAAATATCAATTTTAAGTGAAAACTAGCTCAGCGCAACTGGATAGAGAATTGACGCACTTTACTTTTGTCTTACTGACAGAGGAATCGCTCCTAGCATTTCGCATCGGATATTTCACACGCTCTGCAAAAGTCTTCGGGCTTCGGACTTCACTTTTACTGCTACTTATGCCGAGCCAGAGACAACGCTTCTCATCAACAATTGTTCACAGGCGTACCGATTTTATGTCCGAGATTAATTGCGAACTGGCAGCACTATTCTGTATATTTGACATCTTGACTTTCATCTCATAATACTGCTTCCGACGGGTCGCTCATACCTATAACGGCATTTGCCCAATCTTCATCCAAGTTGGGAATGCGGGGGATAATCGGAATCAATCAAATGCTGGGGTAGCGGGAATATGGACGATTCGCTGTAGCCATTGCCGAAGACTTATCCATCTGAAATGCAACATCAAGTCATTTAGCGCAGATGCCTATGCAAAATTGCTCCTCATATGATCCTAATTGCACGTGAGAATCTACCTACTTATTTCAGTTATACCAAGTATTGGTGGAGGCGATTTTGCCGGAATAATGCAGTTAGATCGTAGGCCTGTTTAGTGCCTGGAACTTGCGGGTACCAAACGCGCCTGATCTCTGTATTCAGGCGAGATCAACGCATATCTTCATATGCAAAATTACAAATATTTCCGACGGGAAATTTGCCCTTGCGCGCTGCAAAAGGAAAGTCCATAGTCTAAGCTACATGATGAGAACTGGCTTTCTGAAGTGTATAATTGGTGGGCTTTAATGCTAATGGGAGTTTAATATGGCGGCGCCCGCATCATGGGCTATAGCAGCTTGCGGCTAACCATGCTGCGAATATGGAAGAGCTTCATTTACCGCACCTCGGCCGATACCAAGGATTCTCCATGTTGTGTTTTCCTGATGAGGGTAAACATTCGGCTTGTTTATGGAGTAAAACTCGGACCAGCTCCCCGGATTGAAGATTCAGGTTTCAACTTCCCTTTTGATAATGGCATATTCAGTATGATAACCGACGGGCCTATAACTCCAAAGCATCGAGTATAAATATAGCCATGATGCTGGGTAAACTCATCTGTGAAAGGCGACTATCGTGACTCTTTTCATCATCTCAGCCTGTTACTTGGTAACACGGAGGGTTCGTCACAATGGGCTTCTCTCGCGCCTTGGTTACGGCACTCACTTATGGGTCTATTGCCCAAGCCACATACGATGTCTTTGACTATGTAGACCCATTAATTGGAACAACCAATGGAGGTAACTACTTACCAAGACTCATATGAGAGTTCTTTGTGAAACAACTGAGAGCAGGACGAGAGCTAACAATACTCCAGGACATGTATTTGCGGGCGCAACTCTTCCATTCGGCATGGCCAAGGCCGTAGCCGATTCAGTAAACGATAATGCCGGCGGTTATGCTTCAGATGGCGGCCCCAGTAAGTTTAACAACGAGACTGAGAAATAAATCTTGGGAGTGAAGGCCGCAGAAGAACGAAAACTTTGTCTAACGATGATGCTTTAGTAACTGGATTTTCTCATATGCACGACAGTGGAACAGGTGGTGTAAGTGCTTTGTCGTTGAGAGTTGAGCCCTCTCCGCTAATTGTTTCTGAAGGGAGCTTCTCTTGGAAACTTTCCTCTGTTTCCGCAAAGCGGCTGTTCTGGCGGCAGTCTTGACAACTGCTATTGGACCAAAAATGACCGCCAATCGATGCCTATCAACAGTTCTGTGGAGGCCCATCCAGGATTCTTTTCGGTTACTCTCAATACTTCCATCACAGCAGAGATGACAGTGGCGAACAAAACAGCGCTATATCGATTTACGTTCCCTGACGAGCCTGTGCCAATGAAGGGAGGCGATGCGACGGGCGCAAATGCTATCCCGTATGAGCCAGTGATTTTGGTCGATCTGACAGATCTGTCGGATTCCAGAAGCAAGGGAAGCGTAAAAGTTGATTCCAGCAGCGGGCGCATTACTGGATCGGGCACATTCAACCCGTCTTTTGGAGTCGGCACATACAACTTGTATTTCTGTGCTGACTTCAAAGGAGCCAGCATCAAGGACACTGGCGTCTTCCAGAATAACAGAGCCGGAACAAACTTTAAGCAGCTTAATACAGAGACCGCAACGGTTACAGGCCCACCTGTGCCCGGAGGTGCCTTTGTCCAGTTCAACAAACCCAGCAACAATCAGATATTGGCCAGAGTAGGTTTGTCATTCATTAGTGTGAATCAGGCATGTGGCAATGCCCAATCCGAGATTCCTAGCTTTGACTTTCAAGGTACTCTGGATACGGCTGAGGACGCATGGCGAAAGAAGCTGGGTGTTGTGCAAGTCGATAATACAGGGGTGGACACCGACATCCTGACGACATTTTATTCGGGGCTTTATCGATCCATGATCTCTCCTCAGGATTACACTGGAGAGAATCCACTGTGGCAGAGCAGCGAGCCTTGTAAGTCTTGTATCAATCCTCGCTACAGTGAATGGAGAAATCTCGTGATGCTAACTGTGGCAGACTATGACTCTTTTTACTGCATCTGGGATTCCTTCCGCAGCATTCACCCGTTGATTACGCTTGTCGACCCATACAGCCAAACACAGATGATCCGCGGACTCATTGACATTTATCGCCACGAGGGAAAACTGCCCGACTGTCGCATGACTTTCTGTAAAGGCTGGACACAGGGAGGGAGTAATGCAGATGTGGTTTTAGTTGATGCGTATCTGAAAGGACTTCATCAGGGTATCGACTGGCAGACTGGATACGAGGCGTTGATCTCAGATGCCGAAGGTACGTACCTTTTCATCCGAAACAGGACTTCATACTGACCTACAATAAGACGAGCCTGTGAACTGGGGAATTGAGGGACGTGGCGGCCTATCCAGCTGGAAGACGCTTGGATATATTCCCACTGATGATTTTGACCCTAATGGTAAGCTTAAATTCATCTATTGGACACTGTAGCATCGGATACTCACCCAATACTAGGGGTTGGTACCTTTTCACGATCCATCTCAAGAACCGTCGAATATGCTTACAACGACTTTTGCATTGCCGAAATGGCCCAGTCTATCCACAAGACAGCTGATGCAGAGAAATATCTTAAGCGTTCCAAAAACTGGAAGAATATGTGGAACCCGAACCAAAACTCATACATCTACGTCAACCAATCTGACGGCTCGACTGGCTACGTCGACAGTGGCTTCTACGGATTTTTGCAGCCAAGATATTTGAACGGCACATTCGGCTATCAAGACGCGATGGAATGTACGCCGATGTTTAATTTTGACTCCTGTTACTTGGTTCCTACTGGCCATGAGGTGAGATTTCTCTTGTAGTGGGTGGAAACTGATCCCGACGAATCGAGTGTGGATATCATTGGAAGCTCGTCGGAACTTTTTTCTCCCCACTATACATCATATTTATGCATTTTCTTACTAATTCACTTATTTAATTCTAGACCTATGAGGGCAGTAGCTGGCTATATACCTTCTATGCTCCTCACGACATGAGTGATCTGATCACCACTCTTGGCGGCCCAGATACATTCACCAAGCGCCTTCAATTCCTTCACACGACTCCAAACTTGCTTTACTTTGGCGATGAGCAGGCTTTCCTTCTGGTCTTTCTCTTTCACTATGCTGGTCGTCCCGGCTTGTCTTCGTACTTTAGCCACCACTACATCCCTTCCCTTTTCAACGCCGGCGTTGATGGCATTCCCGGCAACGACGACTCCGGCGCCATGGGAGCTTTCAGCACTCTTGCCATGATGGGTATGTGGCCAATGGGCGGACAGAACGTCTATCTCATCTTGCCCCCATACTTCCCAGAGGTGAGCATCAAGAACGGCCTGACGGGCAAGACGGCGACGGTGAAGAACATCAACTTTGATGGAGGGTATGAGAATATTTATATCCAAAGCGCGAAGCTGAACGGAAAGCCGTATACGAAGAGCTGGATTACGCATGATTTCTTTGCGAATGGAGGCGTGCTGGAGTTGACGCTGGGGAAGAATGAGAGCAGCTGGGGCACAAGCTCATCTAGTCTGCCGCCTAGTTTAGATCTAGACATCTAGATTTAAAAGTGAATTAGGGTAAATGGTTTATAAAAATTTGAAGACTTTATTGGCCTCTTTATTTTCCGGCTCTCGCGAACAATCAGCGCCAATATTGTAGCCTCCAGTTTGAGCAGAGTATCATTGGTATTGTATATAAATATTAAGCACCCGCCACTCGTTATTCGATTATGATGTCTTCTCCCAACTTTCTCATTGGTAATCTTCCCAATAAGCCTTCCAGCCTTCCAGAGCTCCTCAAAACGTCCTTTGCATCTTCTGGAAAGGCCATTCTCATCCTGCCCACGCGCTCCCACGAACCTCTTCCTGTCCTCTCCACCACCAGCAGCATCACCGTGGCCTCTTCCACAAACCACAGCACGCTCATTTGCTCTCCTTTCCCATGCCGCGTTATGTACTCTTTGATGCTGCCGATGCTGTTTTCGCCTCCTTGACAGGCGGTTTCTGTGCCGCTGCCTCGACTCATCCGCACGTCAACGCTGAGGCCACTGAACTGCCAGCCTTCAGAATGAGTTTTTGCCTTTACGCGATCCAACACCAATGGATCTTTTACGTGGAGGGCATATCTTGCTGGACGGAATCGTGGGGGCGAACTAAGCTGCTCTGCAAAATCGTACACCACAGAGCCGTCTGGCCCAAGCACCTTCATTTCTGGCGAGTATGTCCACTGCACGGACGATGGCTCGTTTCTCGTTAGTTGTGTTGCTGTCACATAGTGGTGATTGAAAATCTTTCGACTTTTCAACTTCGTCTCGGGATCGGCGGCGATTGTCACGGACGAGAAGAGCTCGACTGGGCCAGACCATCCTGCCCACGACCAGCTAGGTAAATGGTTCCTTCGTTGCGGTTGTGTGCCGACTTTGTGATGCCAGAAGCACATTGACAATGCGAATAGATGTCTCGTCCTCGGCATGCCGTTGCTTTCTTCTGACGGCTCTGTCGGTGCCCATATCGGGATACCCACCAGATCGCTTAGTTTCCCCCTTCCAAGCGTGTTCTCCAGCTCTCGCCAAAGGCCCAAGCACGCATCCAACGAATCCTCGTCCCGGCTCAGGTTCCTATTTGTGTATTTCGTAATGTGCTGGTCTACTTCGCGGAACAGGCTCAGAGTGCTCGCTTCTCCCAGCTTCTGGGGTAGCTTCTTCCACCGTTCCCAGCTACCGTCCATGTATGAGACGCCATTAAATAGTCCCGGACGCACGAAATCGCACATGCGCTTCTCTGTGGGATCGTGGTAAAACTCAAGCGGTAGATCCAATGTCTCGGGGCACGCCAAACCCTCGCACTCCCAGTACATTTGCTGCTCTGTGAAGACCAGGCGTCGTCGGGAGAGAAGTCCTTCTTGGTATGTCCATCTCCTAGTGTACCATGTTGAGCGCTCAACGAGAAGGCGTGGGTCCTGCAGACTTGAAACGAGAGTCACATTGGATGTAGTGAATTTGTATTTCGGCTGAGCAGGTCGTGAGGTTGAGCCAATTCCAGGCAATCCGTGCATGGCACTCTCACCAGCCGCGGCGATAATTGTGAATGCGGCTCCCCTGTAAATCTCATCCATTCGATGGAGATGCCCCCTCCTCTCTTCCGGTTTTGTGTCGTCTATGCAGAAGCGATCTACCCAAAGATATCTGAAGCCGAGTTCAAGCGCTACTGTAGCAGCATCTCTAACAACACGCGGCCAGTTTCCGTCCTCTTTGGTATCGCCCCATACGTAACTCAGCGCTACAAAGTCTTCTCGCAGGGATGCTTCGACCACCCGTGGAGGGGATTGGCCGCAATCAATGAGTCGGAATCCCTTGATCTCAGCTTGAACCGGTCTCCGCGAACATCGTCCTTGGTGGTGGTTGTCGCAAAAGTGAAGCCACTCTCGCACAAGGCCTAGGTCGGCATTGTTTCCAATTTCCCGCCCCCAGATCCCCCTTTGTGGCCAGAAAGCATCATCGGGTAAGTTGAATGTTGGCGATGGTTGTGGCGAGGATGTTTGAGATAGAGCGGTTAGTTTCCTTTCTCCACCGCTTCTTCCTCTCGCAGTGTCTACCAACATCTCAGGCCTCGTTCGAAGCAACATGGCCGATTCTCGGAACCATTCGGAATCTACGTCAGGATCCTGTCCGTTGTGAGCCTTTGTCTTGGAGATGACCGAGAAGAAAGCCGGACTGAGTCCCTTGGCTCGTCCTTTGGCCGGGTGATCCTGCATCTTGGCTGAGTCGATGAAGTAGCTCGTATCGCGCGTTGACAAGGCCACCAAATTGTATTCTCCGGGCTCTTGACTGGGAACATGAACCTCCCAGAACAGCTTACACATCGGACATGTTGCCGACCAGCGGTTCTCCTCCAGAAGCTTCAGCCGTGACACAAAGTGCTCCCTAGTCTCAAAATCCGAGGCCCCGCCATTAGCTGGCTTGGTGAAAGTTGCGTCCACCTCGTCCAAAGTCTCTTCGATTTCAGCGGCTATCCGCGCGCAAGCATCACACAGCGCCGGGTCGCGATTCACGCCCATGGCCGAGGGGGGCCTCGAGTTTGGCCGTGAGCCCGAGGCGGCATCTGAGTGCGCCGATGGCGATCGGCTCTTCTGGCCGCTCAGCCGGCGGATCAGCGATGAGCGCCGCGACCCAGTGCCGTCGCTGCCACCCGGAGACGAGTCGACGGTGAGATGCTGGATCATGTTGCGCAGGGGGTTCCTGGACCGGCGACGCCCCGTCTCAGAAGCGCCGGGAGATGCGTCTCTGGGGTCCAGATGATCAGCCATTGTGCATTTTCCAGGGATCGAATCTGTCTGGTCTGATACGAGGCACTGTGCTGTTGGGCTCTGCAAGAAGCAACGTCGTTTGTGATTATCGTCGAGCTCTCCTCTGCGGTGCTTTGGGGCCGCGTCAAAAGGGGCAGAGGGATACAAGCGTGTTTTATGTTATAATGCTGGCTTGTTTATGGCTGCTGCAATGCCTGGCTCCTGGCGGCTAGAGAGTTGAAGGATTGGAAAGGAGCGAATCTGTTGAAATAGCTTCAAGCAGCACAAACAGGGGACAAAAAGGGTCCGTGAGTCTAGCGAGGGGGTTTCACTCCGTCTAAAGTGGTGGCGGCTTTAATGATGAGTAGGTATTTTAAGATCCTGTTCCATGTAGTAGGAGCTGTAGGAGCTGGGCGACGGGGATGGAGAGAGATTATACTATTAATGCAAGCGGAAAAAAGCATGAATATCATCGTGAATGGGGAGCAGCCAAAGATATAAACTCGCGAAAAACGAAGCCGTATATGCAACTGTATACATTCATACTGTATCCGTCTTTCTCTACTCCTGGGCCACCTCATAGGTCCAACACTCCACCTGTAATGGTTACACATTCCCTTGACACTGTGCCACTAACAAATGCAGCCGGAGTGAAAAAAGGGAAAGAAAAAACTCACAATTCGCCCCTTCGCATGCATGTGGAGTTTGCTTCATTTGCTCTATTACTCTATTACTCTATTAATAACTTGCAATCTTGCTGTGCCGCCCAGCGAGATAAAAAAATTTGATCCCATAGCCATTGAGGCGCAGGGCTGACGATGGCCACCCTGGCCCAGGCGCATTTCCCAGCAAGATTTGGGTGGAGAAAGGAGACAAGCTGCTGAGATTGCACATGATTCTCGTCGCAATGGATACCTCATGCATCAATGCAAAGCTTAGGCCTAGCTCTTTGACTCTTGTCAAGAAGCATTTCGAAACTAGTTTTCGGGCTTCGGCACAGGCACAAACAAACGCCCCATCCTAGCGCAACTCCAGCAACCCAATCCATGGTTTCTGAGAGTTGGCGCCGGCAACCAATTCTGGCGGCACGCGACTAGAAGATTCAGGCAGCATTGAAGCTCCAACCGTGGCTGGCGGCCAGCAAGATGTTGAAACGGCCTAGGATCTCGCATGCAAGTGACTGCTAAGGCGCTGTCAAACGCGTGTCCATCCGCACTTATACAGTACAATTCGATGTTGTGGGCGGCTCGTCCTGATCGCCAACAATAGCTTCGACCAACATTCCAGAAATGGCGTGTGCCTTCCATGAGTCTTCGGCGCTTACAAGTGTGCTAGGCTACTTACTCTATGGCTGGCTTCTCAGCCTCACTATAAGCTCGTCTCAGCTCGTCTTACAATAGACTCAGTATGTGATCAGCATACCAACTAGCAAGACGCGCATGTAAGAGGAACGAGATCCGCAACGTGCCATTTTGACAGCAGCCCAAGCGTTAAACCTGATCTGCCTCTGGTCTACTCCCCGATCTTAGGCTAGCATCTCTTTTCGACATGGACGGATCACATAATTGATGCCCGAGCGCAAAACTTCTTCCATAGAAATAGAACCCATATTCTAAGCCACCTTTTGCTCACTAGCAACATCGTGCCAGCAGCCATGACCCCATCCCGCTCCCCGCTTCTCTCCACTACATCGATCACCATGCCCTGCAGCTTGCTTTGTACAGTGTAGGCCAGTCAGCTAACGCTGCGATGTTTACACCGAAAGAGAGGCGAAGCTTAGGCGGTAAGCCGGAGCCGTCTTCCAAAAATAATGAAGCGTATATGAAGCGTATCGGTACCGAGTTTGCGAACAATGACCGAAAGCAACAAGACAACCCAAGGCTTGCTAACAATTCCCGAGAGGCTATGGCGATTGTATTTTCAAGGCTTTTAGGTTAGAATGAAGCGAAACTGCGCTTTAGACCAGTGCACGTCCGTCACCCCATGTGGAGGTGTCACAGCACAGTTGGCTTTCCACGGCTATTACATGCCGTATTAAGACAGTTGTCCATGTCCAGCTGATGATGACTCTCAGCAAAGAAAGTCATATTGCGGCTTAGATGATTGAAATTCTTGGTACTATTCTATAATTTCCCTGCTACTTCTACGGATTCTGCATTAGCCTTCGTAGTCCTCTCTATCCTCCACAAAAGATGGCGTAGCTGGCAATGTCTCGTATTGAGCTTTGTACACAACGTGCCTAAAGAAGCATTCGTACTAAAAGAAAGAAATACGC